GTCAAGTGTTTGGTCTGAGGCCGGATTTGAACTCAGGTTCTCCTGACTTCAGCGCTGGTGCTCTATCCACTGCGCCACCTAGCTGCCCCCAACTTCAGGCTTCTTGTACTATACCCAGCACTTCTCATTGGCTCTCAGGAGCACATGAACTATCGATTTCAAACCAATTTCTCTTGATCCTGGACCTGTTTCTTCAATTGCTGGTAATTTTCTTTAAACTTTTTGGTAGTTCCACCATTCTAAAAGTGACTAACTATTCTTTCATTTTGAATAATCTCAGATCGGAGGGAATCGAGACATTATTCATCATCATTTTCTTTTTTATAAGAATGTCTTTTAAAATTTTTCCACTGGGGCTAATTGACCTTGTATTTGCTCTGGCCAGAGTCAATGTTCTTTACCCACTGCTTCTGGAGACACCTAGTTTATTAAAAAAAAAAAAAAAACAAGCAAAACCATCATTAGGAAACATAATTTCTTCTTTTCCTATGATAATGTTTGAAGAGGCTATCATGGATAGGGTGTTAGACTTGGAGTCAAGACGACTACTTTAGATACTTATTAGTTGTATGACCTTGAGAAAGTCACTTAAACTCTTTTGATCGTAAGTTCCTCATCTATAAAATAAGGGGATTAGACCCTACAGCCCATGTGATTCTTTTCAGCTCAAAATCTATGATCCCATGATGATCCTATGAAGATGTATAGCTCCATAGTTTGCTAATAATATACAATATAAAACCTTCTCTCAAGATCTCTAGCCAAGGAGGCAATATGAAAAATCATATTTTTTTCAGAAAACATATATTCTTTTTTTGTTGTTTTTGTTTTTTTTTTTGTTTGTTTTTGATTAGGCAATGGGGTTAAGTGACTTGCCCAGGGTCACACAGCTAGTAAGTGTTATGTGTCTGAGGCCGGATTTGAACTCAGGTCCTCCTGAATCCAGCACCAGTGCTCTATCCACTGCTCCACCTAGCTGTCCCAACATATATTTTTTTTTTTTAAAATATGAGGACAGACTGAGTCAGTATAAAAAATGATAAGCAGAGCTTGAAATGTATTTGAGGGCAATATATAACTATAACGATGTCTCTATTTCTGTCTCTCTCTCTCTCTTTCTCTCTCTCTTCCCAAAAGTTTTAGTGCATTTTCATGTTAATAAAGCTTAAATACTACAGCTTAAAACTGCACTAATATTTTGGGACTACACATACACACACACCCACACACACATCAATTGGTGTTTTAGTTAAACTGAAACAAATATTTGACATTTGCACAAGCTATTTGGCATTGAACCTGATCCCTACGTCCATCTGAATGAAATGTGCATTTATGCATTACTATGAAGATAGAAATGTTCACAAACCATCAGTAACATTACAAATAACAAACTTGCCCAACATCCAAAAATTCAGTAAAATTTATTTGAATATCTATGTGAATAATATCACATTGATGTAACAATATCATAATACTGTGTCCCAGGGTTTTTCTTCTGGTTATTTTATTTCTTACTTTATCTCTACTTACAAAGATTAAGTAATATACAAAAACAATTGCCTCCCCACCCAAAAAAAAAGATGTTACATTACAGAAAATGTTCAAGTAAATTTTCCCAGTATTTTTTTCTGGACCAGCTTATATTACCCATATTTCTCTTTGCTTCTTTATTATTGAGACATTTAGTGTAAGAATTGAAGGTACCTTTCCCACACACACGTACCCATGCCCACACATGAAGGCTAAAGTTGACTTGCATCTTCAAAGGCCATCTGCTCTTGCTGCATAATATCCACCTGAGGTTGGCCCCAGTTTACCAGTGACAGCCCATCTAGTGGCTGTAAAGGCAACTGTGATATCTGACAGCACCTTCAATATGAGAAAAGAATTACCAGCAGGAACAAATCAATTACAAATGCAGGGAACATCCACTTGTAAAATCTCTAAATTGAGTAGATCAATACATACACACAAACAAATGTACACACACATACACACAAAATGATAGTTATAATAAACATCAAGGGTTTAATTATGTACTGATTATTTAAATGTTTTCTGAGAATTATTAGCTACTTTATATATACTTTATACTTACCCTTCATTTGGGTTCCATTTGCTCTGCTTTAAGTAGAGTCAGTGTGACATAGTGGGTAGAGAGGTGGCCTTGAAGGCAGGAAGGCTTAGGTCTAAAGTCTCCCACCTCTGATCCATACCAGTTCTATGACCTTGGGCAAGTTACATAACTTTTCAATTTTCTAGCACAGTCAATGTCAAACTAAAATAGAAACGGATCCCTGCAGGTCACATAATGACTCAGAAAACCACATATTAATATTATCTATGTTATATCTTTATTTATTTTGTTAAACATTTCTGAATTATATTTTAATCTGCTTCTGGCCTGCACTTGGGAGCAAGTGGCCATGGACATTGAGTTTGACACTGCTGCTATAGCCAGCTAAGAATGAGTTGTGGAGAAGGTGCTGACCTACAATGGTAAAAATGAGTTACCAGTGTTACCAGTGAAATCGTAGGTCCGGTTTCCATTCCTAAACAACTTCACCTAATTGCTAGGGGATCTGATTTGGGGTTTGATATCTCAACTAGCATAGAAGACTATTTTGTAAGGGTTTTGGAGGGCTTGTTTTCATTCAGAAAATTCATATTTTAAGGAGAGGGGGGAAGCTGTTTTAAAGACCCTCAATGTGAGCTCTGTTGTTCAGTCATTTTTCACTCATGTCTGACTCTTTGTGACCCCATTTGGTTTTGTTTTGTTTTGTTTTGTTTTTGCAAAAATATTTTAGTGATTTGACATTTCCTTCTCCAGCTCATTTTCCCAGATGAGGAAACTGAGGCAAAAAGGGTTGAATGACTTGCCCAGGATCACACAGCTAACAAGGGTCTAAGGCCAGGTTTGAACTCACAAAGATTAGTCTACCTAACTTAAGGCCTGGCATTCTACCCACTGAGTTGCCCAATTTAATGTGTAATTTGCTAAATTTTTTCCATTTAAAAAATTTGATTAGTTTTCAAGTGAAAAATTTTCATCACTCTCAACTGCTGTTCCATTCACAAATAGGGGCTATGCAGAAATAAAATTGTGCAAATGAAAACATTATGAGTCCAATTATCTTTATTTTTCATACTGACTTTAGAGGCATTTCATCCTTTTATTCAACACTCCAACCTTAAGGAAAAGGTGGTTGAACAACATGTAAATCTACACAAAGTTTTCACAAAGACAGACAAAAATTCAAGTGGATGCTGGATAACTGCTTGTTGGGTGTGCTGAGGGGGACAGAACTCTTATTCAGGTTTTAAATTGATGGTAAGCATGACCTCTGACATCCCTGACAATTCTGAGGATCTATGATTTCTTGACCCATATCAGTGATGGTGGAAAACACGAAGAATTACACTCAACAATGTAGTTATGAATTGACCTTTGAGGAGTGCTCATCTGAAAAGTTTCAGATGCTTGAAACCTATAGGGTCTCATTATACCCCAGAATTTTCTAAAATCTTTTCCAAGCAATATCCAGGGATGGCAAAATCCACAGGTCAGTAGTTACTTTCACCATCTAAAAAATATTTATTCAATACCTTTCTTTGAGGTACAACTCTTCTAAGTACTATCCAAAAAAAAATCTTAACATTGTTCTGGATCTTTGGTTGCTTATAATATTCTTTGCATTGGTTCCTTAGATCTAAAGTGGCAATCAGTTTATTTATTCCAAAAGATCCCTGAAGAAGGAGCAGGTCTTTATTCTTTATACTCTTCTTTCCTGAAATGTTTCCATTGCCACTCTCAAATCTGAATAACTCTAAATGTTAGCAATAAAAATCTTTTTAACAACTTTGATTACTAAAGACTACAGTTCCCTACCCCAAGCCTAGTACTAATGAATAAGTAATTCTGAAACTTGAAAGCCATAGAGTTGTCTGGAGATACATTGGTTTATAGGTTTATTGACGTGATCTTCATTTTCTTGATGTGAAATGACTATTGTTTTAGAAGGATGGTCTCAGGTGCCACCTCCTTTGGGAATCCTTTCCTGATTCCCTACATTTGTTGGTGTTCTCCCCTCCCTAGAATTATTCTATATTTATTAATCTGAGTATATGTTTTATATCCCAAGTAGAACATAAACACCTTGAGAACAGGGGATGTATCATTTTTGTCTGTGTGTCCCCAGCACAGACTATTTGAAAGAGGAAGCACCTAATGTTTCTTAACTTCAGTTTTAATTGTTGAAATGGAAGTGGTTTTAAATTTGGAGATTGTGAAATCATTCTGGAAAATAGAGAAGAATAGGATGCATTTAAGGCCACTCACAGTCCCTTCAGGAGCATTGTAGACAAGGGTAGTTAAAAACAAACAAAAAACAACTTTTCTATATGGCATTAAGTGGGGTAATAATAAGTCCCTATTTGGGAAATTTTATGGGAACTCTGTTGATGAAAAAAATCAGAATACACAAGTTTATGCTGGCCTTTTTTTTTTTGTACAAAAGATGAATTCCCCCTTAGCCCCTCCATGCAAAGCCAAGCTGGTGTGTAATACTTTAAGAATGGGAATGATCCATAGCTACCTTGGATAAATTCCTTGCTCCCTGAGGGAATTGTATATCCTCCTTTATAATTTGAGAAGTCTAGTTAAAGCTGAATCTTATTCCCAGGGAGGTCTTACTCCTTAATTGTTTGCATTTAACACCATTTCCTTATAACTGCCTGGCCACTGAGATACTCTTTTGTTGGATTAAAAATGATGACTTCCATAAGCAAAGATAGACATTGGCTCTTTTCTACTTCGGGTTTCCTGAGAGGTAAAAGCTAGATTGGCATAGTCAGGATAAGCTTTCATATTTCTGGAATGAAATTAGTTTCCCAAGTGCTGATGGGTCTTATACACCAGTGTGGCTTTGATTATTCTGTTTTGAAGACCACTTATTTATAAAATTGGTACTAACTTTGGTAATTACCACTATCCTTAGGCAAAGGACCCGAGACACTTTATGCTGGACAGAAACTCAACGACAATGAATGGCACACTGTACGGGTGGTGAGGAGAGGAAAAAGCCTTAAGCTTACCGTGGATGATGATGTGGCTGAGGGTGAGTTCAATTTTTGTGCAATTTTCACTCTTTCTGCCCTTAAATTTCTTTTTGTCTTTCAGAGATATTTTTCCTACCTTGATTGGCCCAATGGCATGGGAGCTCCATGAGGGCATGGGAGCTCCATGAGGACATATGAGCTCCTTGATAGAAAGGACTCTTTTATTTTGACTTTGTAGCTACAACTACTAGCCTACTTCCTTGGACATAGTATGAATTTATTTCAAAACTCCAATCAGTCATAAAGTATCTAATAAGAACCTACTTTAAACCCAGCACTTTATGTGTTATGAGGGAGGTGAAACAACTATAATGTATGTTTTCTTGTCTCAAAGAATTTCCATTATTGTGAGGGCAATAGAATTAACACAATGAAACAATCAGTGAAAAATATTAGACTTGTTAATAAGGGTAAATGTGTGTGTACAGACTGTGAATATCACTAGAGTTCAGAGGGAATGACAGATATGTGCTATAGTCCTTGGAAAAGGCTCATAAAAGAGAAGTGACATGGTGTTTGGACAGGCTCAGACTGGTTTTATTTAACTGAGTCTCCAACTATGGGTCTGAAAACTCACTGGGAATCCTGGGAGTTGTCGTCTTCATAACCATGGCAGAAATTCGTTCCTTGCTGCCGGAAGTCCACCACCCACCTCAAAGGTCATGATAGATCCAATCTCTTCTAGGACTGTGAAGATGACAACTTCCAGGATTCTCAGTGAGTGAATATGTCCTTATTGCACCCCCAAGGCAGTCCAAGAAATCAGTGACCTCTGTATCTCCATGAATCACAGATTTAGAGCTGATAGGACCTCAGGAAGCCATCTAATCCAATTCCTCTCATTTTCTAAATAAAGAAACTGAGGCTCTGGGAGGTTAAATTACTTGCCCAAAGTTAAAAGGAGTTATTTGAACTTAGCTTTGAAGAATGGGCATTATTGAGTTAGACAAGAAAGCCTTTTTGAATGACATCCCACATTCTTCCAATTGATATTTATAATAATTCCTATCTCTCAGCAATGATCTAGCAGTGATGTTGAATTATGTTCTAGATCATACACTATCTTGATCCATAGGTATATGCTTTGGAGGGCAGTTCTAGATTATAAGGGGAAAAAAAAACAAATAAAGAGACCCTTATCAGGAAAACATGGAACAGAAATGAAATGTAATGGAGTGAAAAAAAATAGCAAACTAAGATTCAGGAGGCCTAGCTCTGCCACTAACTCATTTTGTGACTTTGGGAAAGTTACTTCAAACTATCTGAGCCTCAGTTTCCTCATATGTAAAATAAGGTGACAGAACCAGATGATTTCCATCACTAGTCTCTAGTCTTGCATCACTAACAGACTAGTTAAACTGGATGTCTCCTGCGGATTTCAAACTCAACATATCCAAAACCAGAACTATCTCCTTTCCTTCCTCCAAATGAACCCAGTTCCCAACTTGCTTATTTCTCTTAAAGGTGCTGCCAACTTTCCACTCACCCAGCTTTGCAACTTTGACATCATCCTGAACTCCTCATTCTCACTCATCCTAAATTTTCAACCAGTTGCCAAATCCCTCTACAACATGTTTTGTCAATGTCCCCTTCTTTCCATTCACATAACTGTCACCCTAGTTCATGCCCTCCTCACCTCTTAGCTTCCTAATTAATTTACCTACAAATATGGTCTCTTCTCTCTCAATCTGTTCCTCACAAAACTGTCAAAGTGATTTTCCTTATTTCTGTACTGAATAAACTTTGCTGACTCTGTATTACTTCTAGAATCAACTATTATCTCTTCGGCTTGGCATTTAAAGCCCTTCACAGTCTTTCTTCAGCCTACCTTTTCAGCCTTATTATAGATTACTACCCTTCACATACACTATAGCCTAATTGAAATGGCCTTTTTACTGTTTCTCATACATGGCACTCCATCTTCAGGACCTTAGATCTGGCCGTATCCCATAGCATTACCTCCTCACTTCTGTCTCTTAGAATCTTTTGTCTCCTTCAAGGATAAGTTCAAGTACCACCTCCTACATGAACCCTTTTCTGATCCTCCAGCTGCTAGTGACTTTCCCTCAAAATTATCTTGCATTTTCTATGTAACTATGAAAGCAAGCATTGTCTCTTAGGACGGAGACTTTCATTTTTGTTTTTATATCTCCCATCCCTAGCGGAGGGATCAGCACATAATAGTTACTTAAATGCTTCTTCTTAATTAACTTAATGTTTTCTGAGGTCCTTTACAGAGATAAGATTGAGAAAATCTTGATTTGTGCATGCAAAGATGTACATCTGTAGTTTTAGAGTCTGGAACCCTGGAGGAGTCAGTTTTAAAAATATACGTATGTATGTGTAAAACTCTACTAACTAAGGAGACGTTGAACATAAGATGGATTTTCCTTATTTTGCATGTCATTCAATTAAATTTAACAAGCAAGAGAATCAGCATGGAAGTGGTAGATAGAGTGCCAGTCTCAGAGCAAGGAAACTAAACTCTGACATATACTGCTGTGAAACTGTGGGCAAATCACCTTACCTCTCCATGCTCCAGGTAATTCTCTAAGACTCTAAATTTCAGAGGAGGTGAATGAATTGGTAGGAATGGTTTTTTTTAATTTAATTTAGTTTTTAATTTTAACTTAATTTAATTGGTAGTTTTTTTTTAAATTCCAATGCCAATGAAATCACAGGTCCAATCTTGATTTTTACCAACAAGTCCCTGGGGATACAGAGACAGTAATGGAACAGTCTTTGCCCTCAAAGAGCTTTCATTCTATTGGGGAGGGGAGTTCTTGGGCCAATTCAGCTATCTGGGGCTTGTAATTGGGGGCAAAATCAGACCACTTAAGATCTAAATGATATAACATCAAGTGGAACTATCTGGCAGGGTTTATAGGTTTAAAAAGAAAGTAAGGAGTGTTCCTTATGAACCCCACTTCTGTAATCTGAGATTTTCTCCAAATAGTCTCTTAGCCAGACCCAAAAGTATTGCTCTCCTTTACAAGGCATGTTCCTCACCAGGGACAAATCAGTTTCCAAAGCAAAGAAACAGTGAGGGAATTAACCCAGCCTGAGGCTACTTGCCTCTGAGGAAAGCATTTTGCTTCTGCCAAGCCTGCTAACACAACCTAAGTCTTCTTACTTATAACTCTTGCATAGCCTAGGATAACTGGTCCTAAGTCATATGGTATCTTTTGCTTTTAAGGCACTTATAAGAGTTATTAATAAAATCAAAACCATGGAATTCTCACATGATTATAGCTCAGAGTCTCTGGGGGAGTGGCAAAACCCTATCTAGTGTTTTAGGGTTAAAATTCTAAACAGTTCATGTGCCAAAAGCCCCTTCATTGGCTCCTTCCATTGTGGGTCTACTGTTTGTAATTATAAATATGCATACATCAGCAGTTATTTATATTAATATAAGTATATATTTATTATATATCTGCATAATTTTAAATTTTTATGATAAATATGTAATATATTTACATTAACATAATTTTATATTAAAAAGAATTATGAGTAATTTATATTGAGTATTATGGGGAATTATGAGTATATATTTATATTAAATTGTTAATTCAAGTATATTAAAGTTATATTAAAATCAGGAATTATGAGTAGTTTAAAGAAATACATAAATCTTAACGTAAATCTCTATACTGTGCAGACAAGGGTAGGGTGGAATTAAATCTTCATTGACCCTTCCTGATATCAGCTCCAGTCCCTTGTAGCCACACCTACTTCCCAATGGGTTTGAATAAACATAGTGACAAGCAGAGAGGGCTCTAGGTGTATCTAGGTGAGCCAGTCTTTTTCCATTCAAAATTCCCACTGGAGCACCTGTTTCTACCCAACTTTCAATCTCAGTTTACTATTTTGATTTTGTTGTACTTGCTTCCTCCTTCCCCTACCTCAAACTAAAACCAAATCTTGGGCTCAATTGCCTCTCCTCACTGATTCCCCATGCTCATTCTCAGAATCACCATCTAAAAGATTCCATTCCACCTCCTGAATGTAAACTTATTGCATGCATATGTCCCTAGTTACATAAAAATAACACTGTAAGAGGTAAAGAATATTTTTTTCCCCTTGAACTTGTTGATGAAGACATAGTCTTTGGAGAGAAGGTTGGGGCAGGGTAAAGTAAATGAAAACTCACAGTGCATACTCTGACATGAATTTGTCATTCAGGTAATTATGAAGTCATTTTTGAAAAACTGCAAGGAAGAAAATGGTTTTAACAGTCTAGATCAGCTCATTGCATCGTTAGTTCAGTGAAGCCGTTTTTAAAAACTGAGCCACTAGATGGCAGTCTCATCCTAATGCTTTTCCCCAAAAATATGCCCTTGTCTTTGTGTAGGAAGGTCTGTATACTGAAAAACATACTTTTAAATAAGCAGCTGCAGACTTCCAGCACCCACAGTAATGCACAGTCCCTCCCTCACTATTCTTTATAGAAACACTGAAATAAAGGTAATTATAAATTAGGCTTTTGGTTATCCCCAATAATTAAAAATCATTGCTAAATCATACAATGCCAAAGTCATAGAGTAATTTGGTGTTTGAAGTTAATGAAGCTCTTTCATCTTTAGCCTATTCAGGTCTTACCTCCTGCTTTGTTACTGAGGGAAGAATCCAAGTGTGAGCATTAAGAAGGTCTAAGAAATTAAAAATAATGAATGATTTTGCTTATGAGAGATGGTCCAAGTTCCTTTTTTTTAAACACAAATAAGGATTTAAAAATTAATTTATTAATATGAGTAATAAAGTTAGGAAATTTAAATTTGCGTTCCTCCTCTATTCACACCCTCCTCCCTCCATTCCACACCAACACGTATTCTTCCCAGGTTATTAAGAAATGGCTTATTACCTTCTTTACTAATTTCTCCTAGCAATGGAAAATTCCTGATTTCAAGGGATTTCCAGTTAGTTCCCAGAAATTTTGCAAAGAACAATAGGATAAACTATTGCTTAGTAGAGTGCGTTAGGATTGGCAGTGCTTATGGAA